AGCAATGAAAAACAATCAAAATCTCTTTTAATAAATGTTTACATAGTTTTTTGAGGTTGGAAGGATCGAGAGTTAGGGAAAAGTGGGTGAAACTACTATTTCCAAATTTTCGTTTCTTCCTCCTGTATCTGGGAGAAGGGGAAAGATAAGCAGAGAAGCTGCACCCAGCCTCCCACCTCCACACCTGGGGATGGGGAACGGCCATCTGATACTATCCCTGGGTCCCCAGTGTGGAGCATACTCAGAGGGTTCTGTTTAAGTGGTTTGGGTACTTCTGAAATGCTGTTGATCTCATTGATCCAAGGATGAAGAAATCCTTCCATGTTCCACTGGCTGACATAATCCACTTCAGAGTTGCCATTTGCCCAGATATTTATTGTCAACATCTGACTGGGGCTGTTGTCTAAGTTGTTCTGACTTCCTTCCTCTGCTATGGTACCAGATGTCCTCTGCAGGCCCCAATGGACTGCCATATATACCATGTGCATCTGGACATGCTATCTACTGCTCCATCTTATCCACTAAGGAGACCCAGTTATGACACAGGCACTCCATGGTGAGTCAACAGACCCTGCAATTCTCCCAGTGATTGGGGTTCTGAGTCCAGCAGTTCAATTGGGAAGATCCCCAAACAGACCTTGTCTGAGGTGGTCCCAGACCTGACCCTTGTGTGTGATTGGCGATCTGGGGTCTGGCTCAGTCCACACACACCCTGGCAGTTGCAGTTGTTGGGTCAGTTTTGTCTCTAGTTCCATATCTTACACAAACCAATGGATGCTGTGGCCCAGACCAACCCAGCCCATTACACACTCGGTCCTCAAATACACTAGTGGGAATTGTAGTCTACTCAGCATGATCCACAATAATCCCCACCAGACCCGCTCCCTGTCCTGGTTCCTGTGCTTGCCAGTATGTGCAGCACACTGGTCCAGTCTGTCCACATCCCATTCAGCTTTCATACACATCAATGGGCATTGGAGCCCAGTGTGGGCGATTGCCCTGGATCTCTGTCTGCCTAGCCCACGTGGAAGGCAGTAGGCAGGCGGCACAGCATATCCCCAGGGGGACCCCTAACGGAAGTCTCAGCTAACCAAGACCCTAACTGGGTCTGTCCACTGGGCATGCAGCAAGAGTGATGGGCTGCACCCCAGCCTTTCTTCTCCGCCTCTTTAATAAACTGTGCTAGAACTTCCTTGGCAAACAATTCTGGGAAGTTAAATTTTACATTTATCCTGCTTTTTAGCAGTTAATGGAGTTTGCCCTGAGGCATAGTTTCCTATGCTTCATGACCTTTAACTTCATTGGCGGGTCCAAAGAGATAGACATACCTATTAGCCAGTCACATGTCATTGGGTGAAGTACTGTCGGGACTGCCCTTCTTCCTGCCATCTTTTCCTACTCTATATAAGCCTGTAACTTTTTCAAATAAATGGACATTCCTCACCACCAGTTTGTCTCCAGTGGGGGGCCTGCTGGACAGAAGATCCCCGAGAGCCTAGCTCAATCCAACCAACCCTACTATCCAGCCTACATTCATGCTAACAAGTGCCATGGCCTGTCTAGCCAGACTCTCCCCCAGTCCTGGTTCTCATGCTCACCAGTGGAGTTGTAGACCATCAGGGAGGTGCCCACAATTTCCCTACTGGTCCACACCTATTCCCAGATTTTGCACTCTCCAGGTGGTTCTGTAATCTAGCTTGACAGGATTTGCCCCCAGTCCCAACACTTGCAAGCCTATGCTGTGGCAAAGCTCAATCAGCCTGCACTTACTCTGGCTCATGCATGCACTAGTGGATACAGTTGGCTAGTCCAGCCTGGTTTGCCCCCAGCCCAGTATCACATGCAGGTAAATAGGTGTTGTAGCCCTCCCTCGTATGGCTTGCCCCCAGTCCCAGCTCTCACACTCACCGGTGGAAGCAATGGCCCAGCAGGGGAGCCCTGCCCAGCCCCCTTACCTGGCTCACACACCTCACTCACCCTGGGGTTTCATGCATACTGGCGGGTGCTGCAGCCCAGACTGGCATAGTCCATCCCACTGGTGAGTACTATGATCTGGCCCTATCAGGTAAGCCTCCAGCCCTAGCTTCACTGTGCACCAGTGAGGGATGATTGGTGACGGTCAATGCTAACTAGCCCAGCTCAGGTCTCCCACATGGGCTGGTGCATCAGTCTGACCCTTAAAGATCCTCCAGTTCCCCCCCTCCAAACTGCTCGGCCTTAGCCCCCTCACTTATCTGCAAGTACAATGGCCTTGTTAATGTATGTCTTTTAGAGGTCATTTCTGGATGTGAGCCCCCAGGTCCCTGCATACCCCCACCTGTGCCATACCCTAGACTCTCTGTAAGCCCACACCCTGAACCCTCATGAGCACGCAGCCAGGTGGCCCACTGGCTTCACCCAACCTGAGCTGCTTCCTTCCCTCTCCAGGGCTAACAGGTCCAGCTTCCACCACACACTTGAGCCAAACAATCCAGGCCCGATGGCCCAGTCCACTCCCTTTTAAATAGCCTTTAGATGAGAACTAACAATGACCAACAGGGGCTAGTGTTGTGGAGCAGTAGATTAAGCCTCTGTTTGCAACACCAGCATCCCATATAGGAATACCACTCCAAGTCCTGGCTACTCTGCTTTTGACTCAACATGCTTGCTAGTATACCAGGGAAGGCAGCAGAAGATGCCCTCAGTACTTAGGCCCTTGCCAATCATGTAGGAAAACAGAATGGAGTTCCTGGCTTCTGGCTTCAGACTAACCTATTTGAGCGGAAAAGTATTTGGCTTTTTCACTGCATTTAAAATATATGTGATAGCAACTCTATTTTTGAACTTTAATTCAAGTTAGAAAGAAAGAAAGAAAAAGAGAAAGAAAAGAAAAAGAAAAGAAAAAAAGCTTTTACATACATAATGTGAAGGTACAGGAGACCATTCTGACAGTGGCTTCTACTCAGTTGAATCCTTAGGACATAAGTTGCATGATGGCCAAATTTCTGCCCCTCCTTTGCTTCCAGAAAATACAAGTCTAGTCTCACTTTTTTTCACACTGCAGAACTACTCCAAAGTCACCTGTGGCTACAAGTAGAAATGGCAACCCAGAGCCACACAACCCTAGAACAGGTCAACATCCAGATCTCAAGGTCATCACAGTCCTTGACACTTCTTTCGAACTTGCACATTCCACAAGAAGGAATTAGAGTTGGGACCAACAGTGGCTTCAGTACCGAGTAGTGGACAGTGAAAAGAAGTTGAGCAAATTATTTCAGCAAGGTCACAACTCAGAAATTAATATTTTGTTATTGTATAGCGAAGAACAACTTTGGCATTGGTCAGACTATTACTGGTTTAGGCAAGACACCATTTACATAAACAAAAACAAAGCAGCAAAATTAAGTAATCTTTGGGTTGATGGCTTCCCTGTTCCGTTAACCCCAGGAAAACCCGGGTCTCTTCCGCCAAAGGACAGACACCTGCCCTCAGGCCCTGTGGAAAGGCTTTTTGTTGTTGTTGTTCCTCTTTCTCTTCTTCTCCTCCTTCTAGTTCCTCTTCCTTTCACAAATCACTTGAAAGGAACAGAGACATAGAGACAGAATGAGCTTCCCACCCACTGCCTCATTCATCAACATCCTTTAATAACTGGGGCTGTCCCAAGCAAAAATTGGGAGCTATGAACTGAAGCGTCTTCCTCCACGCAGTTGGTGGCAGGGACACACCTGCCTGAGCCACCATCTAGTGCCTTCCGGGGGAGTGTATCAGCAGAAGGCTGCAATCAGAAGCAGGGCGCAGATACAAACCCAGACACTGTGATATGTAGTGGACAACCCAAGTGGTGTGTGAACCATGAGGACTTAACACTCACACCCCAAGCAGTTGTTTGACTATCACTAGCAAAGAGGATGTGGCCAGGTCATGGATGAAGTTCTCTGAGGGCTGGGATACTGACTTTCATGATCCATGCAGAGGACTAAGAAACTTACGGATTTTATAAAAGAGAAGCAGAAATAATTGTGTCAGCATTATTAACTCTGTCAGATGTTAGCCTAAATACAACCTCCAAGGAATTGAATATTCCAGTGTAGTAAGAAAGTAATATGTGAAAACTGTCTCATTTGGGAGTTTCACAAAAAAAGAAATTTGCATTCTAGTTAAAAATGAATTCTAAAAACTGAGAACAAAGAATAAAAAAATTAGTTTTGATTCAGTGACAACTACATTTATAGAGTTTAAAAAAAAGTTACCTTTAGGATTCATAAAAGAAGATACTCGAACCAAAGATGTTAGTTCAGAAATAATCTGATAAAAAAAAAAGGTCAGAATCCCACAAATTGGAGAAAACTTACTGTCTCACATGTGGTCTTCATGTATGGTACCAGCTCTGTGAACAACATAAGGGCTGCATCACTACCGGTCCAGGTGAGCCATTTTACAATCTGCATATAATGACGTCAGAGTGACGGAGAAGGTATATTGTTTACTCAATCAGTTCTGACGGAAACTTACCAAAAGATTTAAACAAACTAAAAAGAAAATATTTTGGAGTGAGGAGATGCATCTCTATTTATGATGCCACAAAGTTGTAAATCAATACCTTGTTAGATAGAGGTGGAAAGATACCCACTGGGTTGCCTTCAGGAACACAAAATTTCTTTACAATCTATCTCAATGTCAAAGTGGACTTCTCAGTTCACCACTGAAAACGTGCCAGGATTCATGCGTGCTGTTTGTATATTACCATATTTTACCCAATGACAGTTATTTCGTTTTACATCTTTCATAAAACTCTAAAACCACTGCAACTTGTAAAAGAAAAAAATCATAGCAATACATTTTTGACCAGCAAAATTTTACTAAACAATCTCAGAAAATTTCAGTAGAATCTGTCTTTCAATATCACAATCTTTTAATGTCAGTGAAAATAATAATTTATGGATTAAAATGTATATTTTAACTTGACAGGACAAATATTATAAACACAATTTCTGAATAGAGAAAATGAGGTACAAGTAATAGAGCTTTCTCAGTGCTTTAATACTTCATTTGAAAAAGTAAACACGGTAACAGTCATCATTTTGATTCCAGTGAATAGAAACTTAAAAGACTAAACTTGTTAAACATTTTGAAATCTGAAACCAAAATGATTCTTCAACTGGACAGATCATTCTAAAAAGTTAATCACAATGGAAATTTTGGCCAACTTAAGTGGTTCTTTGTGTTGCCATGGTACCTGTGTCTTTTTTGTTAGGTTTCCATTTGCCATAATAACCAAGGATAAGATTACAAAGAAACAGAAGTTCACAAGGCTTGATGACATTGAATACTGGGGCTTACATCTTTTTAGAGTCCAGGTTATAATCCCTGTTGCAATACAAGCTGTAATGCATACTATTCAATGGCCTAAAAACCTTTCAGCAACAAAACTGTATTAAAAAAACCCATCATTCCCATATGTTACATTGACTGTATATAGCACAGCCACTTAAGCCTTTAATTAACTTAGAAAAGCGTAACTTTTCCCTGAACAACTTGGAAGAGTGATGATATTTCAATCACTGCTGTCCTGAACTTTCAATTTCAACAATGACTCTGTTTTGTCACTTCTTCATTCCAGAATGAAAGGGTGATGATGATTTTTTTAAAGCAAGCCAGAGAACCTGAATCCAAATAGTGATAAGATAGACTTTTTAACAACAGTTGGATTTTTATATTATTTTCAGCTATAAGATATCCACTATGCAGTTGAAACAGCCGAGAGAGCTCAACACGCTGACTCACCAACGCGTTTTTGCCCCATAGGTTTTGATCCCTTTTGTAAGGTCAAACTGAGCTATGACAAATTTGGCCCTAATAAAGGAGAACCTACAGATTTAAAAGTATTGTTTTTAAATATTCAAGTGCAATGCTATTACAAAGGATTAAAACATCTGTTTCAACTATATCAGATGTATCAATTTCCATTTGTTCTTAACCTGTCTGCAGTACACAGGTTCCCCGGGCTGCCCAACAGCCCAAATGATGTAGTGGAGAGATGATGTTATCAGCTGAAAAAGACCACTTTTATCCCAGTGCTTTGAGACCCATTTTTTCATCCCTGAAGAATGGCCACCTCTCTCCAACTGAGTTGCTCCATACTAGAGCAGCATTATATGTAGAGAGTTACTTTAAATCTATATCATTCTACAACTACAGATACCACTGTAAAAGTTAAAAATAATCAGATCAATCATGTACCCGTGATCCTTTGTAAATTCTAAAATGCAGAAATATTCTTAGTTTCGACCAAGAATACTATTGGAATGAACTAAAGACATCTTTTAATGTAATTTTAACTGTCCTCTTATTCATTATTACACTTCTATATAGATTTAATATTGCTTTTGGACATAATTTAATCGATAATATATCATAATGTCAACTACAACAATGACCCAGAATCAGATTCTGGCTACGGAGGAAGCTTAATTATTAAGCAACACCAGCCTAAAAAGCTTCTGTGTCTCTGATTGGTAAGAAAAACAAAGTACATCTCTCATTGAAATAACACTGAAGTCTGAGCTTGGGCCCCCTTCTTTGTGTTCAACATAATTCACTCTTCAGGATAAAATGATGAAACATTTAGTCGCACGAATAAGTTACAGCCATCTTCAAGAAAACTCCACAGGCAACTCTGGTGGCACAGTTGTGTATCTTGGATCCAGCCTGGGGGTGAAATCCTGAAAGCATTTAGACGCACTAGTGCCAAAAACATCAAGGACTTTCCGGTTCATGACAGCAAATCTGTAAGATAGGACACAGTGGACAGCTATTTGGTGAGGTTTACAAAATAAAAGCATTCACTTAATTTGTCCTGGTTTCAGAAGATAGAAAATAGAAACAGCTGACACAGCAAAAGATTTAAATCCAATGGCAAATTCAAGGCCACATGAATACTCTCAAGACTTACTATTTGCAAAAAAAAATGTTTTATATATGTATCTAAAATATAGAAGGCACACATGCAACACACATATACTTACATGTGGGTAAAGAGAGAGACAGAAAGAGACAGAGAGATCCACCTTGCTTCTGATGGTGCAATCCCCAAATACTGGCAACATTCAGGGCTGGACTGGGCCAAAGACAGGTATCAAGAGTTTTATTCATGTCTCCCACAGAGGTGGCAGTGATCCAAGTATGTGAGCTGCCTCCCATGCTGTGGCTTAGCAAAAAGTTGAATTGGAAGTGGAAGTAGGACTTCATTCTATGCAGTCTGCATAGGATACTGGCACCTGCATTACATCACAATGCCCATCAGCGTCTAATATTGTATTTAAAGAGATTTGGAGCCCCAGAAATTACAACTGTTACTTCAAATCTTTCTAAAATTTAGTTTCCACTACATTAATGTCAAACAATAAAAAGGTCTATTTTTCCTATTGAATAAAATTATAGGAAGCAAAATAATGAATAAGTTAACATGTACTAATGAGGCAAAAGTACTGAATGCAATTTTTCCCTGAATTAACATCTTCCTGTCTTGCAATCAAAAGAAAGCACATCCAAATGTATAAATATTTAATGATAAAAAAGCAAATACCATATAGATTTCCAAATTTTTAATAGACAAAAGAGAGCAAAAACATGCTCTCATGTATTCATTCATCTAACTGATGATATATAAAGTTTTTTTTAAAAAAATACATGTTTAGTCAACAGGCAGGCTGGACCTTCTGAGGCTTTATGCTTAATTACAAGCAATTTCTTCTACAAAAAACAGAAGGAAATTTGCTTTGAATTGTTGCCCAGCTAGCATCATTTTTCCCAGAGCAAATAAATGTGACTTTTAACTCTTTTCCAGAATAAGATTCTTTATAAAATAATGTGTAAAACTCCTTTATGTGACAAACCAAATGACAAGAAATGATTAAGAAGAATATAAAAAATATGCAGTGCTATGACTTAGAGGAAGAACTCTGAAGTGAGAATGCCTGCCTGTATCTCCAGCTCCTTCATTTGCTAGCTGTGTTACTCTGTGCATCCCTGCCTCCTCCCATGCGTAACAGGGATGATCACAGCACACATCTCACAGGCCTAGTTCAAGTACGAATATATAACACGCGTGCAGATGTATCTCTATCTATCTGTAAATCACGTAAGCATTAGGCAAGCATTTGTTATTTTCATTATAGAACAACAGTAATATTCATGCAGCTGCGATTTACTGACTACCTACTAAATGCTAAGCAACACTATAAGCGTCTTCGTTTTCTCATGTAATCGTACTTTGTATGTATCATCGTTTCATTGCAGAGAAAGACACCTCAGCTTGTGAGGGTAAGAAACTGCCAAAACTTTGCCACAGTTACCACAGCTGAAGGCATCCGAGAGGGAGCTAAATTGATGTCTGCCCAACTCTAAAACGCATATTCTATTAGGGCAATCATCTCCCCAAATTAGATTAAGGTTAGGAGGGAAACACAGGATGGGAGAGCAGAGGAAGGTATGCTTAACATCAGGTAATACAATATAATATTTCTAGTATGGAAAAAAATTAATTAGTTAAGGAGAAATGAACATTAATGAACACACTCAAATTTTAATCAAATGATGAGATCAAAGATTTTAAAAGTTACTCTTTATAGCAACTAATCATCAGTTATCAACATGTTGTTCATCTGGAATACGTAAACTGAAACATAGAGAAAAGGATAATGTTTACTTAAATAATGCTTCATGCTGAGCCCAACTTGGTAGCTTAGTGGCTAAAGGCCTCACCTTTCATGTACCAGGATCCCATATGGGTGCTGGTTCTAATCCTGGCAACCCTGCTTCCCATCCAGCTCCCTGCTTGTGGCCTGGGAAAGCAGTCGAGGATGGCCCAAAGTCTTGGGACCCTGCACCTTTGTGGTAGACCCAGAAGAGGCTCTGGGCTCCTGGCTTTGGATCAGCACAGCTCCAGCCATTGCGGCCATTTGGGGAGTGAACCAGCTGATGGAAGATCTTCCTTTCTGTTTCTCCTCCTCTCTGTATATCTCATTTGCCAATAAAAATAAATAAATCTTGAAAAAAACCTCAATGGTAAGAATATTTCATTTTTAAAGTTGACAAAAGATTTGCAAATATATAAAATCAACATTTATATATAAAACTTCATCACTGAAAGAACATTATCAACGAGAAAAAAAGATTTGTAACATTTTTATGAAAACTGTTTTTTCCCCATGAATATTGAAAACCGCTTAATCACTTACTTGCCCTTGGTGAGCCTTAAAAGAAATTTCCAGTAAGATGGTCGCAAAGTTTGCACTTCCATGACAGCCTAAGAGTATTCAATTAGAAACTTTCTTTAGTAAATACAAATATTATCAATAGTCTTAACCAATACTTTTATCTCTACTGTTTTGCTTATTATATTTAGAAAGTATGGTAACAGTAATAAATAACATGTCTTTATGTTTAAGTCAATAACTGTCAAGAATTTTTGTAAATACGTCTTCAATTAGAAATGCTGCATTTAAAATAATTATGAATATTCATTATTATCAGGAATGATGTCTGGAGTACACTTTAGACAGCTGATACTTTGCTAGTTTTAATGAGCTAATCTACCTGGCAGCATTCCTGCAAGAAAATGGCAAATAAAAGCTCTCCCAAAAACTTTGCAACAGCCTTAAAAACATGAACATCATAATGATGATTACAGAATTCAAAGACATTAAATACTGCTTCTATCCAGTCTCATTTCTTCAATATTATTGGGAAAATATAACTTTTTGTGTTTCTACCCATGCTTTTTTTTTCTTGATGAAAGATAATTAAATTGGATCATGCTACCCAACGTACTGAAGTGATGATTTACATATAAAGTGCACTCTAGTTAAACATAAAAATTGGTCTGCCCATACCAGGACCTGGTCCATTACGTTAACATGTGCAATGATTTGAAACATAGATGCTGTCTCAATGAAAAAAAAAAAAGACATAAAACATCATAAATAGAAAGTTCCCAGATTTTTGTTTTCCCTCTATTGGCCTAATAGACCTTAGAAACAGAACCACTCTTACTTCTCATTTTAAAAAGCTACACTTACTGCCTGGAAGCAAATTGCTGTAGAGATGGAATAGATGATAGTATCCGCATGAGGAAAATAGGGAACCTTCCCTGCTTCAATGCCTTTGAAATACATGGTCTGTAAAAGAAATAGAAAGCCAGCGTTTCAAAATAGCAAAAACACTTTAAAATACAGTTGAGAAGCATGCTTCCTAGCTACAACTTTGTTTCTACCTCTCTAAATTCTATTACTTCCGTCACAGCTCAGGTTCTATGTTACAATCCATGAAAGGGTTAAGTGTCAGCATTTTCTTTTGCTTTGCTCCAGACCCCAGCAACAAGTGGCAATTCTTTCTATGAAATCGAATAGTATCTTACTTCTCCCATGTTGATGCCATTTAATCCTCATTGTTTGTTTACATCCTCAGGGCCTCCTTGCTCTGAAGGATCTCTTTCTTTATTCATTCATCTATAAACATTTAATCTACTAAGTCCAAATTCCCAATTCTGCCAATATTTCAAGTGACAAGATATTTATATTAAACCAAGTGGTATATTTATTTCTTCAGTTTTATAGGTGTCCTATATATAGGACAATGGGTAATGTGCATTGTCCTATATAGACATTAAGCTAAGAGCAAGGGATTTAAAAATGAATAAAACACAATTAGTGTATAATATATCACAATTACATACAATTATATACTATAATGATAATAGATAATACATATATTTATAGCAATGACATACATATATGTTTGTGTGTGTGTATGTGTATCTGTCCGCCTGTCTTTGGGTCTACAGAGAAGGGAGCAAATTCTGAATTCCTTGGCTGAGATAAAGTGTGATGGAGAATTTCAGAAAGGACTGTATGTGATTAGTGCTTATCAAGCCACCTGCAGTGCAGAAGCACTTTTTAAAAAACTTACAACACTTAAAAAAACATATTCACTATTCAAAAGATGAATATTATGGTCAAATAACTACATAGATTTCCAAATGCTTAATCTCAATTACTGTAATTATGTCACAAATTGGTGATAAGCAGCATGCTGAACACATTTTTGGTAGTGCTGCCTTATAAGATGCAAAGTAGGCATCAAAGGACATGATGGATATAAGATTTTTTTCAAAATGTTCACGGAAAATGCAATTAAAATATAAATTTTGATATTAAAAGTATTTGTCAGGGGACAACATTATCACACAACAATTTAAGCCCTGGCCTACAATGCCAGTATACCACATGGGTACTGGTTCAGGTCCTGACTGCTCCACTTCTAATTCCTTACTAATGTGCCAGGGGAATCAGCTGAGGATAACCAAGTACTCAGGCCCCTGCACCATGTGGAACAGCTGGATGAAGCTCCTGGCTTCAGACTGGCCCAACCTCAGCCACTGTGGCCCCTGAAAAAATATATTAAAAATGTTTCAAATTCATGAGGTTTTTTTTTTTAAAGATTTATTCATTTTTATTGGGCAGTCAGATATACAAAGAGAGGAGGAGAGACAGAAAGGATGATCTTCCATCCGATGATTCACTCCCTAAGCAGCCGTAATGGCCAGTGCTGAGCCAATCTGAAGTCAGGAGCCCAGAGCCTTCTTCAGATCTCCCACGCAGGTGCAGGGTCCCAAGGCTTTGGGCCATCCTCAACTGCTTTCCCAGGCCACAAGCAGGGAGCTGGATGGGAAGCAGGGTAGCTGGTGCTCATATGGGATCTTGGCACATGAAAGGCAAGGACTTTAGCCATGGGCTACCACACTGGGCCAAATTTTTTTTAACAATCTACATTTTCCTAGAATTTTTTTTGAAGATTCAGCAATCTACCTAAACCCTCATATGAGCATGTGTGTGTGTGTGTGTGTAAAATATGAAGAACTGCTGGCAAACATAATTAGTAACAAGAAGTAATAATAAATAAATCAGTTTCCTGGTACATGAGAAAGCTAAAGAAAAACTTGAAAGAAAAATGAAAAGGTGATGAGAAGGAATGCTGACTCAAACAGAAGTTCAACAAGATGTGAGTGACTCATGAAATACAGAGCGGAGAGAAGACAGCAGTTATTTGATACGCCCGTTGAGAACTGCTCAGGACTGCTGCATCCCCTGGCACAGGGCCTGGTAGTCTTGGCTACACTGTTTTGCATGCTGTGCATCCCGGCAGGTGACACAGGTGGCTCAGGTACACCCATGTGGGAGATTCCAGCCTCTCGGTGTCATTCTGACCTAGTCCTGATTGTCACTGACATTTGGAAAATGTACCAGAAGAACTGTCTGTCTGCCTTTCAAATAAAATAAAAAATACATAAATAATGTTTAAAGGAACAAACTAAAGAAAGAATTTTTGCTTTATCTTGATCACTGACCCTTGACCAAGTGAAAACACTTGTTGCATAAATTTGACATCTCAGTTATTTTCCAAGTATTTGCCATAAAAAATCTCTAAAGATCCATATAACCGATCCAAATCAAAGAGCAAAGCAACAAGGGAAGGAAGAGTTGAACAGATTACACATTAATCAATAAAATAAATTTATGAAATTTACTTACTTTATACTAAAAATAAATATGAAAAGCTATGTATATTAGGGACTGTAAGATATGTCTCAATATTATGAGCCATTTCAGAAACAAGAAACTAACATACTGCTAGTCCATTATTTTGAATATAATGTATCAATATATTACGAGATATACTGCAGTGAATTCATGTTGAAGAAAGTGCAATTTAGATAGAAGGGTGACAGCAAAAAGTATTAAATGAAATAGCTATCTTGGGCCCGGCAGAGTGGCCTAGCAGCTAAAGTCCTTGCCTTGAATGCACCTGGATCCCATATGGGTGCTGGTTCTAATCCTGGCAGCTACACTTCCCATCCAGCTCCCTGCTTGTGGGGCCTGGGAAAGCAGTCAAGGATGGCCCAAAGCTTTGGAACTCTGCACCCGTGTGGGATACCCGAAGAAGTTCCTGGATCCTGGCTTAGGATCGGCATAGCATCGGCCGTTGTGCTCACTTGGGGAGTGAAACATCGGACGGAAGATCTTCTTCTCTGTCTCTCTTCCTCTCTGTATATCTGACTTTCCAATAAATAAATAAGTCTTAAAAAAAAAAAGAAATAGCTATCTCATATATAATGTTTGTATTTCTAATTATCTCCCATAATTAAACATAACTATTGAACCAGATTTTAAGTTAACGAAGGGCAGGAGCCTTTTTCTATTCTTTATGCTTACCAACTCCCAGATCAATAATAAGAACAAATTAGGTACCTAATAAATATACTCAATTGACTTACACATTTCAAAGAAAAAAAACCTGTTCATAGAGCTGATTTGGTCATCTGTACTGTGCAGTAATACAGCATTTTAATATAAAATTCATCACATAAAATAACATGATTTTAATTAATTTCACAAGAACATAGGAAGCTGAAACTTCTAATTTCCTTTATTTACTAAAACATCTTCATCAGCATGCTTCATAGCCAGTTCCTCTTTGCCAAGCTCAGACATGCACAGCCCAATGACACACGAAGCCAATATCACTGCTCCACTTCTACAATTCTAATTATGTACTGAAGGAAGCATGCTTAAGACAGCATTTATAAATCAGATTTTATTAGTGGTTTTCTCCTGTGGCAAATAATATATTTTACTAAACAGATACTACTTTTGCTGTCACTTCCTTTTTCTCTCCCTACTCCTAAACATAGACAATTTGTGTATTACTGTCTCTGTGGCCACCACCCTGACATGGGATACCACCTTCTGCCAGACTACCTGTTCTTCCAGATTCCAATTTGCCACCTCCTAATACACTGTGTAAAATCCAGAATATTTCTTCTTAAAATGTGAATTGTCATTTTGTAATTAATACTTTTCAATGGCTGCAAACTGCACTGAGAAAAACTAACAAAAAGTTGCATATTCCAGCTTTTAAAACTCTACATGACCTAGCTTCTGCCCTTCTCCCAATTTCATAATACATACTTTTATATATTCTCTCAATCTCTCTCTTTCCATCTCAATTTTTTTCTTCCCCTCTCCTTTTTCTTTTTCCCCTCTCTCAGACAATACATATGAGAAGAGAGCAAACATGTAACTCTGCTAATGCTTATAGGATCATTGATTTCTGTGAGATAAAACTAAAAGAAAAAAAAACCAATAAAATCTATAACCCTAATTTTAACTGGCAATGTCCAATTAAAATTTTAATCTATCCAAAATATATTTTCTCTCTTAGTGAGAAAAGCGAGGGAAATGGATTCTCTAATTGTATTTCCTGGAAGCAAAACTCCTCTTAATAACAAGACTGAAGTCTCTAAAATATAATTAATTGTCCACTAGACAAACAAATACAATCAAACACTCCAAAACATCAGAAGCCAGAAGAAAATACGGGTGATCCCATGCTAAAGTACCAAACTTTCCAAGTGAGCCTGGGATATCCTGTTTCCCAGTAAGTCAAGCTGTCAGAGGCAACTGTGTCATGTCAAAACGAAGAGCCAACAACAAGTGCTGGAGTGGCTCTCACTCAAGGGGTACAATCTGAGCATTATGACTGCAGTGCTTTTTATAAAAATCCACTCATGCCCATGTTTCCATGATACTTAAAAAGTAAAGACTTGGGTCAAATCTAAAGAATACTGAGGTGCTGTCCTGAGCATGATTAATAAAAGAGGAATCAAGCATTTTATTCCTTCTTCACACTTCAAATGAGAAAGTTCTGTTTAAAAGCATGACAACCAATAAACACAGAAGAAACAACAGATTATCATCACTTGGGAAATCTTCATGAAATAATGAATCTCAGAATGATCTTTAATGGCTGCTGAAACTATTAATTGAAATGTTACTGAGGAACCTTACATTGTCTCTCCCAAAACGTAAAACCATCTGTCAGGGAGAGACAACAACTCATTTTTGTGACTCCTAATATGATATAAGAGAAAATATTTCTGCCTTCTTCATTGCACAAAATGAAACCTTAATTTGCTTAAACATCTAGATTTAATTAACAATTTGTAGGAAACTCATGGATTAAAGAAACACAAGAAAACAACACAAGTATGCTATCAGGAAAATACAGAATGTGGGAAATTCCGTGGAACTAAAAGCTAGACTTTTTACAAATAAACAGCAAAAGAAAAGAGGATGAGACGGAGAAGGGAAGAGAAAGCTAGTATAAATTTAAAAAGACTTAATTTTGCACAATGGCATTTATTTAGAAGATGGCAAAAAAAGTAAACTCTAATAGAATATACTATATCATTGAGGAATTTCTCTTTGTTTTTAAATATAGAGTAGTATTGTGCTCATACTTGGGTGGCATTGTTGATTTGCTTGTTTCTCATAACTCTGCTTCCTCTAGCTTTTATTGTCTAAGGGGACTTATCCTGGGCTGTCTGTGGACAAAATGATATAATGTCTAGAATGAGCTTTAAAATAACTCAGGTTCTGGGGAATTGGGACAGAGAAAGAAGGATTGGCCAAATGTTGGAAATTTGTGAAGTTGCATGATGAGTGCATGAGCAATAATCACACCATCCCATACATACTAAGTGAATATATATTTGAAAATTATAAACCTAGAAAAATGTATAATAATTGGCTTTATAAATACTTTAATAGTAGTTGGAACATATATTTGCTGCTGCTGCAGTTAGAAAACAGCTAAAAAGATTTATATCCCTTAGAAGTGTTCATGCATAAAATTCATTTGCTTACCTCCACCAATTTTGAAGCTAAATACATGGAAATTGTTGTGCTCTTATAGAACATCATTGATACGCCTGCCAAAAATCCTGAAACAAAAAGGAAAAACTGATCACATTGCCAAGAGTTTCTTTGGTATTCAGTCACTGAAAATGTACATTCATTTACAGTTAAGAAAGGATTTGTAGCATTCCCTCTTATTACATCATCAATATACCTAATTTCATGAAAATGTCCTGGGGTCTTATCACATTAAGAAAAATAATTTCTGGGCTACTGGTGCTATTTCTATTTTGAAGTAGAAAATATTTGCTCATTTATTCTCCTAACAGCTCAAATTATTTTTCATGCCAATATGACTCTTCTCTTTATATCATTTCCTTTACTATATAAATTGACAATTAAAAGGTACAGGACCAGTTAGTTAGACTAGTATTGTGATCAAATGTCTCAGAAATGATCTTTTAGTTTAACAAGTATATATACTGTACTTGCAGGAAATAATCTTTAGTTTTATAACATACATTCCTTGACAGAAATAATAGGAAGACATATGTCATTTTTCAGGACCAAAACAGAATTAAGAAGTATATTCTTACATCCATTAGTTACTTCTAACATTTTTTAATCATTATGTTCTTTTGTGACACATTTTCTAGGATTTGTGGCCAGCATCAAGGCAGACACCAAAGTTGTTGAATTAACCATTAAAATCACCAGATTGCAGGAATGCTTTGACTTGCCAAACTTGAAAAAATGCAGTATTTAGCTTAGTTTATTACAACAGAGAAAGAAAGATAAGTAGAAACTTGATAACATTTGGAAGCTAGTGCATGTTCATTCCTAACAGTGTGATTGGTGATAATAACTTTACTATTGCTTTACCAGCTATAATAGCATGGAGCTCATCGTCCAGGTTTCTGACCCAACGCAGGAAGCAACTAGTACCCTGTATTAAAAAGAAAAAACAATGGCTTCAGTTCTTTCATTTCCAGGAAAAAAAAATGCTTGAACAGAATTTTCAATGAGATATTCACTAGATGACTTTTGGAATGAATTTGTGAATTTAGAGAAATCAATTGTACATGACTTAGAAAAAAACTGTGTTATAAATGATTGTTTTAGATAGACTCTGTTAAAATACATAGCCTCATTACCCTGATCCTTTAAAACAGGTCCATAAGCTCCCCTTCCATCTAGTAATATGCTAGGGAAAGTATCACTTCCATCCTTAACTAAGAAAAAGTGAGATCAACTATAACCGGTCAAATCAGAATTCAACATATAGAGAAAACTTCAATACTCAAGGTAAAATAAAGACCTTTTCAAGATGAGTAAAGCCTAGGAAAGTACATCATCAGTTGACTTGAGATACTAGAAATGTTAAAAGTAGTTCTTCAGGTAGACAGAATTCAGCAGGTAAAAAATTTCTAACTATACTAAGAAATGAAGACCTCTGGATACAGGGAAATCATGGACAATTTAGAAGCCATGACAGGTTTTTTTTTAAGTATTTATTTATGTTTATTGGAAAGACAGACATACAGATAGGAGATGAGACAGAAAGGAAGATCTTCTGTTCAGTGATTCATTCCCCAAGTGGCCACAACAGCTAGAGCTGAGCCAATATGAGGCCAGAAGCCCAGACCCTCCTCTGGGTCTCCCACGCGGGTACAGGGTCCCAAGGTTTTTGGCTGGCCTTGACTGCTTTCCTAGGCCACAAGCAGGGAGCTGGATGGGAAGCAGGGCTGCCAGGATTAGAAGCAGTGTCCATATGGGATCCTGGTGAGGCCAGAACCTCAGTCGCTAAGCCACCACACTAGGCCACCGTGTCAGGCCCCGATAGCTTTTTTTTTTTTAAGATTTATTTATTTTTATTGTAAAGCTAGATATGCAGAGACAAGGAAAGACAGATAGGAAGATCTGCTGTCTGATGATTCATCGCCAAGTGGCCACAATGGCCAGAACTTAGCCAATTCAAAGTCAGGAGCCAGCAGCTCTTCCAGGTCTCCCACGCGGGTGCAGGGTCCTAAGGCTGTGAGCTGTCCTCAACTGCTCTCCCAGGCCACAAGCAGGGAGCTGGATGGGAAGCAGGGCTGCTGGGATTAGAACCAGCACCCATGTGGGATCCCGGTGCGTTCAAGGCGAGGACTTGAGGATGGCCCAATGCCTTGGGACCCTGCATCCCTGTGGGATACCCAGAAGAAGTTCCTGGCTCCTGGCTTCGGGTCAGCAGAGCATCGGCCGTTGCGCTCACTTGGGGAATGAATCATCGGAAGGAAGATCTTCCTCTCTGTCTCTCTTCTCTGTATATCTGCCTTTCCAATAAATAAGTCTTTATAAAAAAAAAAAAAAGTAGGCATTCTAACAAGGGAAAATGGTTTCCCATGCGGAAGCTTAGCACATGGTGTCAAATGTCTGAGCCTACAATTTTAAATGAGTGAAAATAAGTTAATATAATAATAATAATAATATGGTGTGAAAATTACATGAAATTCTACAACACTACGAAAAAGCTCTGCTTACTCATTTATGCACTGGTCTATACTTGTTTTTGCAACATGTAGTAGTTGAAACAGTGACACACGGTCACAAAGCCTAAAATACTTATTCTCTGCCGTACTATAGAAAAAGTTTGCTGACCTCTCATTTTATATAAAAATAATAACATGTGGTCCTGTTATGAGTGGAGCTTAGAACACATATAATGATGAATGTACAGCACAAAGGTAAGAAGAACTACAGTGTTGCAACATTAACTATATATAAAGTAGTAACAACATTAGTTGAAGACTAGCTGATGAATAAAACTTTATTTGTAAATGTCAGGACAACCACTAAATTAAGAAAGAAGTAATTAGAAATAGTGAAGCCAGAATACAGACAATACCAATTTAGAAGGTATTAAAAAAGAAAAAAAAAAGAGTGAAAAAGAACAGAGAAATATGGAACAGATATGAAACTAACAAGAACATAGATCTAAACTCAACTATATCATGAATCTATTAAGTATAAATAATATGAACATTCCAATTAAAAATAGAAATGATTAGATTGAATAAAAAGAAAGAACAAACTATACAACATACTTCAAAAAGTTTGTAGAAAATGAATTAAAAGACAAGCTCGTTTTAGTGCAAAAAAAATTTAAATTCATGAAGTTTTTTGGTAACAATTATGTACTTTCTGAAAATCCCTTAAGTGCATGGGATTCAACGTATTTTTATACCAAAATAAACTAACAATGAAATTCTACTTTCTATGAACATTTTTAAAGTCTTGCTTCTGAGTCTATTTATTTTTATTCTTTGAAAGGCATGGTGATAGAGAGAGAAGTTTTCCATCAGCTGATTTATTCTCCAGATGCCAGCAACAGCTGGGCCCGTAAGACGGAAGCCAGGAGCCAGGAACTCTCTCCAGGTCTCCCACCAGAGGAACACAGATGCAGGTAATTAAGACATCAATGCTGCCACCCAAGATGCGCAGAAGCAGGAAGCCGGATCAGAAGCCAAGGCAGACAGCATTCCCGGTAGCAGCTTCACCAGCTGCGCCACAACACCCACCCTGGATTAACTTTCTGAAGCACCCTTGAATAGGTTGTAAAATAAACTAAGTTTCAAAACAAAGACAGATAATTTAAATAATAGCAACCTTATATTGTCATACGTTAAGCAAATGAAACAGCAGACTTCAGAACAAAGGCTGTTATTAGGGATAAAAAGGAGGGGACACTACAGGGTCAGATCAACAGGAAACAAAAGAAACAAGGGTTATTTGCTGTTCTTAACCATATTCATATGAAGATATTAATGACATGGATAATATGTTTTGAAAGCCACATATGGCTTTGGCACACTAGACATGAATATATTCTCTGAAATTTCCTAACCCAATTGTATCTCCTCATTGTAATAACATCATATTGGGCAAGCAAATTAGTACAACAAATTCTAAAAATGAAAAGCGAAACAATGGATTTGTAGGTTTGCCTGGGACTAAAAATATTTGAGATAATCTACATGTAAGCATTTAGGTGTTTACGTTGGGAACAACACAAACATTGTATGTAAGAGATAAATAAGAATGCACAGACATGTACTTTTTAATAATCTGTTCTAAATTCTTTTGTACTCAAATATATTAGTAACATCACCTAGTCAAAACGTATTGAAAATGGTTTTAATATTAACAATATTATATAACAAGTGACTGCCATGGATTATTTACAGTTTTTTTCCCTCCTTTCCACCTTGAAATTCTTTGTTCAAACCTATCTTTTTTGCATAAACATTTACATAAAATGCCAATGCACCATTTTAGTTAAAATAACTCCAGCTTTCAATTTTTCCAGCATAATTTTCTTTTGACAAAAATAAGAAAAAATATAAAAAGGGACTTTGAAAAGTTCACATAAAATGGAATTGAATAATAACATTATTCTCATGCCCCAAATTTTTAAATACATAACTTTTTATGTTATGTACTTTTCATGACCATTTTAAAGGGTTTAAAGTATATTTAAACACCCTGGTAGGAAATATGACTAAGAAAAAAGATACACCAGGTATATTAATATAAAGTGATGTTGAAATGTGAGAAAATTCCTTTATTTTCTCAGTTTCTATGCATTTAAGAAAGAAAAGTCAGGATTTGAGAATCTTTCATATAATAAGCAAACTCAAATGTGTGTATAAACTTAAGTATACTAAATAACATTTTAGAACAGGAGCTGTCTTCAAACTCAATTCCCAATGTTCATATTTGGTGGTATCATGATATTTCTTAATATTCTGCAAAGAATCACTAAACAAAATGATAAATGAATTTTGGCCATAGGCATTTCTAGGAACAACCACGTTAGTTCCCATTTTTCTTTCTTCTCCTGAAAACATTACCTTGTATATACTAACAAAAGAGCCAAGAAAAGCTCCCAGTTGGAAGTTTTCTTTATTGTAGAAAAGAGACAGTAGCCTGGATGGTTGTGTAAACAGATGCCGAAATGCAGAGGGGATCCGGAGGCAGCACTGGATCAAGTATCCCACACTAAACATCCTGATGAAACCCTAGAGAAAATTGGAAGCAAATTCTGATTTACAATACAATACTGAAGACTGTCAGAATATTAACATCATTTCAAACCTAAAACAAGAGGCAAAAAAGTTATTACACATTTATATTACAGCAGTTGTCAAACTAAAGTCTAAAAACCTCAAGCAATAATTTTAAAACAATTACCTTAAAAATAAGGGTGAAATCGTGGAGTGAGTATACTTTCTTTGATTTACAAAGACTTAAAAAGTCTCACAAGCTCTGGCCAAGCTTGCCTATGCACCAAATTCCATCTCTTGATATTTTGTTGACAATAACCAGGATTTTTAATTCCTAAACCACAAATGAGTTTTAGAAACAAAAGCACTAACATTCCAAAAAATTAGTTACAAAACCAAATGCTTTTGGAAATTTCAACAGAAAGCTGCTCTTACTCATTAGCATAAATAGGAATTCTTTTGATAGATAAATGAATTTATCATTCATTCAGATTTTTGCCATCTACTTTTTTATGGTTTTTTAAAGGTTAAAAGGATTTCCTCTGGAAAAGAAATTATAACTAGGTTTTTATTCCTGTGCTTAAATGGGTCTGACTCAAACAATTCTGTGAATGGTGGTTTTAAGGTATACTAAACTTAAAACAGTAAGGCCACTAAAAATCCATATCACACTGCCAAAAAGTCACCTGGGGAACAAGACAAGTATTGGTCAATTTCATTTCCGTATTTATGAGAATGAAACTTATACATTACTTACCGTCAAGAGACTAAGGAATTCTAACTAGCCTAAAAAAAATGTTTGTGGTAAGCATAATATTTTATATATGATTTAATCAATACATTGCAATTCTGGTCTTCCATCCTCCTCATCACCTCCTCTCTCACCACTACTGGAATGGGAAAATTATTTACATTCTCAGTAGTGCTTGCCTGTTACTTTCCAAAAGTCAAGTCTGCATTTTCTAGATTGTGACTTCTTATTTTTCTGGAGAAAACTGAATAATTGTAAAGAAATGTTGCATTTAGACTAATTTATCTGAAGATATCTAATCCAGTCAAAACATGAAAATTCAACTGTACAGTAAATTACTATGAATTATCACATATTTACTTAAATTTAGTGTCAAGTTCACTGGATCAAATGGTTAAAATTATATTTTTCATTGATATCATAATATCGTAACTATTTTCAAAATATTCACTTGTTTACCATGTGCTATATTCATCAAACATTCAATGAATATCTGTTCATTCAATGAGTATTTCCACAGAAGCAAGAGGAGTAAAAGTTCTTGCCTGCAATTGGTTTTCATGTTCATTAGAGGAAAAAAACATGAGAAGAAGTAAACACATAAAATAATAACAGACTAAAATAAACATTACAAGGGAAATGATCAGGGCACAAAGGTAAAAATTAAACAGCCATTTATATTAGACTGAGAAGTTAGGGAAGGACAGAGGACACAGCACTTAAACAGACCCCAAAACGCAGAAGAAAAGGCAGGAAAAAAACATTTTAGACAACTTCAACAATAATCATAAAGCCAATAAAGAGGTTGGGAGACACAACAATAAAAAGTTAGTTGAATGGAAGACAGTAAATTGAGAAGAATGTAATTAATATGGATATTTATTCAGGGCTATGATTTAATATGCAGTTCTAACTAAGTCCATAGAATACTGAAGTGCATTGTAAAAATTTTTTAAATTATATTTGTGATGTAAATTCTTTACCCACTAGTTTTAAATAGTTTTATATACACAGACATAATATTTCAATTTGCACAAAACTTACCAAGTTTATGGTACAGGTACACATTTGAAAGAGTCGCTAGGGTTTTTCCACTGCCAGTAAATTACACTAACTTTACTGTACACAGTGTTTTTTTAATATCACTTTTCCTAGATCTCAGATTTTCAAATACTTCTAACTTTACAAAATTTTCCTTAGTTCTACTCTAGAAGTCTCCCTTGAAATTTCAGTCAATTTAGTTAGAAGACCTAAGAGCTTTCCAGCAGCCTTCAGGTTCTGAGATTGCCAGAATCTTAAAAGTGAAAGAGAAAATGGGAAATAATATATCAGAAATCACTGCACATTAAAAAAAAATGCTGCTTTTATCCTGGTCCTATCTTTGGAAATTCTGATGGTGCAGCCTTGACCGAATGGCCACTCTCAATCTACTGGGCCATGGCCATTCCCATTCACAAGTACTAGGGATATTCCCTCCCTTCTGGAGTGACTACAGGAAAGCTGTCTTTCAGGATATTGTACCATGTAGCTCTTATCCTTGACAGAGAACATATTTTTATTTATTTATTTATTTATTTTTTATTGTTAATAACATTGTATTATGTGATACAGTTTTATAGGTGCTTGGATTTCCCCTGGAGAACATATTTTAAAAGCATTGGAATTGTTAAAGCACCACTCAAAACCAACGTACTTGAACTTAACTAGGTGGTGTGGCCCAGGCCTGGCTAATTGCAAAAATATATATATAACTTACCTTCGAGAGCTGGTGGTGATGGGGGAAAGTAAGGAGACAGATATAGGGGAAAGAGGGAATGACACAATAATACGTGGTATATAGATGTTCCTAATTTATGCCAGCAGCCATAAAGAACTGTGTTAATGAACAATAACTGTGGACATGTTCTGGTTATTTTCATGCCTTAAAATAAATATTATACTTTTATAAGTCTAAAACCAAATGCTATTGTACTAGATCATAATAATATATACGGTATTAGTGTATACACTAATCTAGCTAAAATACTGCATTGTCCACTGGTCACTGCAGCATGAACCAAATGCTATTGTACCAGATTGTAATAATACGTACAGTATTAGCATATAATCTACTGAAACACTGCGTTGTTCATGGGTCATTGTGGCATGTCGTTCTCAGAGAGGATATATTACAATGTACAAGGTTTAATGACCTTGTTTTTCCTTTTTGTTTTGCTATGAATCACCAGACCTATTTCATAAGTTTTAAATAAGCTAATTTTTAAGTAATCTAATTTAAAAACTGCTTAAAGATCTGGTTAGTGCATATTAAATGCTAAATCATCACCTATTCTCACAGATTTTTATTGCTCAAATCAAATGCAAAGAATGACAGCAATTATTAATGTTAACTTTCGTACTTCTAAATTATTTCTTAAATAAGTTGATATACATTTAACATTGACAATAAAGTAGGTGCTTTCATATACTTACTTTAATGCAGTAAGAGATGCAGTTATCTTCATAGTGTTTGCAACATCTATGCCTTGGTCCATTCTTGCATCTGAAATTAAATCCCAACAAACCAAACTAATTGTAATTGAAATGTGTGTGTGTTTGAAGAGTCTTAAATGACTCTCTAACAACAACAACAACAAAAAGCTTGAAACAACACTACTGGCTTCTAAACTTATGCACTTTGGGAGTTCTTAGGGCATATAGGAGCAAGGATAAGAAATATTTTTGTTGTTCTTTGCTGCTTATTATTTATCATACTTTATAAAACATATGAATGCATTACAGACACTTGAGTGTGGAGTAAAAAATTCACATTGGTAAGTATTTGTGACTAAATATGAAAAATATGTGTATGCTATCTATATATGCTGCCAAATCCGTTGGAAGCTTTAAATCACTTATTGCAGAGTATAATGGTCATAAATCATCCATGAAGCCAGTACTTGTGCAAAACTCATAATGAGAATATGCTCAGGTTACAGGAATTTATACATAATTATATTTGAGAGAAAACATCTGGAAAAGCAACATGATGCAATATCAGAACTCAAAATTGAATTGCTAAAATAAATACAAATGGAGAGACCATGTGACAATTTAAAAGCAAGTTGTTTGTGATTTAACTGTAAACTACTTAACACTTAATGTTAAATATAAACATTGCTGCTGAGAGGACTACAATGTAAAACACTGATTTTAATTACTTAGTATATTGAAGAGAGGATTATCTATTCATCCTGGGCATTAAAAAAATAAGTGGAATATCTTTTGTGGGCTTAGCTCTTTCCCTTTCTCTTTAAAGGATTCATGCTTCAAAATAAGTAGTCTTTATAATTCCTTTCAGTCTATAGTTAATTAATTATCTTCACGGCTGGAACACATCAGCTCTTTCCTGCTTGCAACAATAATCTGTGGAGCATTGTTCTGGCTCAACACTTCTCCAATCCCAATTGCAAATTGATTAGTAAGACTCTCTGAAATCCAATTCTACCCGGCAGCTGGAGGACACTGGCAGCCTGTCCTGTGCCAGGGTGACAAAACAGCTTATTCCAACCGCAGCTCTTATGTCATGAGAATGATATGACATATCTGTTCCTGTGAAGTTGTTGAGTAGTTAAAGCTGTGACTAGAAAAGAGGTGATTCAGAGAAGTACTATCCTGTGTAAATCATCATTCTTCATAAAAACATTTTACGAATGTCTTTAAAGACATTTCTCAACCACTGACTCCAGAACTACACTGAAATTAGCAAGCACTGCGCTGGTGAGGTTGAATTTTGGCATCCTCCACACTGTCACTCTGTCCTCAGTCATTCATTAGAACGCCTTCCGGAGTCTTCAACTCCCCAATTCCTGCAGTATTTCTTTGCTTCCATATAATTCTACATTTGTTGTCACCCAGAGGCCTTTCTGAGGCTATTCTTGTTCAAGTATGCACGACCCGCTCAATTCTACTGTCCTGGGCATCATTCACTCACATAATTCAAATTCTGTTTCGATTTTTACTGAAATCACTTTTATTAATGGATGTCTCTCCTTTATTTTTTTTCCTTCTTTAAGGTAAATCATAACTGGTTTTGAACTAACCACCACAATTACTCCTGCAATCTACGATTCCTTACTTAATTCATAGTTAGGTATTGTATATGACAGAAGCTGAGCACTTTGTGCTTATATTTTATGTCTTGATTTCACATGTGTTTTATATTTAATGCTCACAAAAATTTTTAATAAAGATGCTTGACTCTAGTAAAAAGCTAAAGAGCTGGGAAATGCATAGTGGTTAAATGACTTGTCCAAAGTCACACAGCTGGGAGAAACCAAAGGAGGGACAAACATGGTTTCCTGATAGCTTAGTAGCATCAGCTCCTTAGAAATGTTCTCTAATTTTGTATAACAAATCAAATAATAACTGCCATGATTATTTTTATCAGCTGACATTGTAATTTCTTTCTTTTTTTTTAATAGTCCTTGATGAGGTATACACTGCTTCTGTAGAGAAAGCATTTGGGAGATTACTGGGGGTGTCTCTGGGACTAGGATACAAATCTCCTCCTGTCCTTCTGTTCCACTCTGGGTTTCCCTCCTGCTCTGTGCATATGACCGCCTGTTAAGAGGCTGTCAGGATCACTCTTGGATCAAGCAGTAGGGCATTGTTAACCAGACATAGTGCAATGGCTGCTGAGCCTTATGGATGGAGGAGTATAAAAGCTACTCACCTCTAAATATACTTGCAGTGGTGCTAATTCTAAATGGCCCAGAACAGTATCAGCATGGATCACAAAAGGGCAGGTCACAGCATTGGCTCCTTTTCTGGGAATAACTCATCATGTGAACTCCAGGGAACACATTTGGCTGGGCTCAGACTGTGAGGACTGCCCAAATCTCAAGGAGTGAAGCCTCCTGGAGGGCTCATTGTGGTGATATGGGCTGCTCAGGGTCTGTTGTTTAATTTCTGCCTGCAGGGATAAGGCCTTTTTTATTCCAAGTTGATTCCTACTAGGATCATGTAGTGGCAGAGAAATTATGGGTCTATAGTATTTCTCAGTTTCTTTTTTTTTATTTATTTTTTTTATTGTTGTTAACATTGTATTATGGATTTACTTTCTCAAGAGTTACATTAGAACTATAAATGTGTGCTTATATGAAATATAAAGACTGTTTTGCTGAAAAGATTTCTCCATTCTGTATCAAAGCCCTAAAAATTTTTATTCTTATAAAATTTTGTTTTCTTAAGGTCTGTTCCTCATGTTTTATCTTCTTGAATCTCTTTCAGGAACATTTTTTTCCTTTCCATACCTGGCATACTCAATGAGTGGATAATAATCTGTTTCCCCAAAGGTAATTTGTTTCCTAGTAATCTGAAATAGAAAAGTACTTCAATTTTAGACAAATCAATTTTAATGGCATATGAGGCTCTACATTCCTGCCAAAAATGAGAAATATCATTCATTTGTCATCATGTGCCTTTTATCAAATTCTGTACACAGTTTCTGCTGAAAAATTATCATCACTACCTGAACAGAAAACAAAATTACCTTGGCAGAGAATAAACATTGTATAAATCAGTGACAAAGCATGCTAAAATATCAAGATAAAGGACTCACATTGAATCCACAAGTTTCCTGACTAAAGCAATTATATTCATTTTTCTTGGTTTGTCTTCAAGCTTCTCTTTCTTTTGTTCAACTTTTATATATGCTGCCTCTGGTGAGTAAGAATGTGTGGGAATTTCTTCCTTTCCTACAATGAACCTAAAGGAAAAAAAGCAGAGGGTGAGGCATTTTTAACCTTAAAAAATGAGAAAGATAACAGATTTTGCAGAGTATCTTCTCTGAAGTCAAATTTCACCATTTACATAAAACCTAATTTTCCTTTAAAGCAAAAAAAAAAAAAAAGATCATCAAAGTCAGGACACTTGGCAAAGTACAACACTCACTTGTTTGACATACAGGTACTTTAAATCAGGCAAATTCCAGCACATCACTTTGAAGAAACACACTTTTTAGGATAGCACTTTTTAATGTATTAGATGTTTTGAAATTTTCAATCAGAACGAGCACTTTTTGGGGGGTGGGTCACAAAATTTGTATTTTTTTCAATCACATCATTATCTTAAATTCTCCTTAGAGTTACAATTACATGAGTTTCTCATGCAGAGTAAAACTCTAAATGCATGCCTAATGTCACTTAGAGGCAGAAACAGCTGCACACAGTCACCTGTACCCCTACAAGGAAACGCAAGCAACCAGAGACCAAGACTCAGAGTCTGGTTCAACAGCCACATCTAGATTAACTCATTAGGAAATTTTAACCTCATTGCTATTCTAACTTATTTATTTCTCTTTTGAAAAATCAAATGCCTAAAAGAGGTCATCTCATTGTTAAACTATAAAAACTAATATGCAGCCAGAAAGTGTTCCCATCATCGATATTCTTTGTTGGGATTTTTAACTCACTGCTCTAAGTTTTCCAATGGAAAGTTTACTTTCCCATTTTAGAAAACGCAATAAAATGCAGATAAAATAGATATATGATATAGTACCAAATTAAAATTCTGGAATTTGAAGCTGTGAAAAATGTAAACTTACACACCCTAAAAAGAAAGACAAGACATTACTGCCAACAACTGCAATCTGTTTCATCTAGACAAAACATATAAAACATCTAGCTTATGAAATCATAAAGGTCTAGTGGCTAAATTCTTGCCTTGCATGTGCCAGGGTCCCATATGAGCACTGATTCTCGTCCCGGCAGCACCACTTCCTATCCACTCCGTTTGTGGCCTGGAAAAGCAGTCGAAAATGGCCCAAAGCCTTGGGACCCTGCACCCAGTGAGAGACCTGGGTGACGCTCCTTGCGCCTGGCTTCAGATGGGCTCAGCTCAGGCCATTGTGGCCACTTGGGGGGTGAACCAGTGGATGGAAGATCTTTCTCTCTGTCTCTTTCTCTCTGCAAGTCTACCCTCCAATAAAAACAAATAAATCTCAAAAGAAAAAAAATATACAGAAGGAAATCACAAAGGCTGTGCAAAAAATTTTTTGGTTTGTCACTAGATGGCAGCTCTGCTTGCTTTGTAGATGTCAATCTGAAAGAATACACTTGTCACTTTTATAACCGTGTGTGGACAGTTTAAGCTCTGTACTAGTATTCTTTATATGCAACAAGAAAAAATAATCTCTTTCACACCTCTTGTAACACTGCTGCATTTTTCTTTTGCTAGAATTTATTATCTCAGATTACACGTTGCTCTCCTGGAGATGCTGGTCCTTTTCCAAGCCAGGATGAGTTAGAGGTCATACCTCTGTGTACAGTCCAGGGAATCCACAGAACTATACACATCATTTTGGTAGTTAATGTTTTTCCAATGAAAACTGTGTCTTATTTGCTGTTACATCCCAGAACTTAGCATAGCGTCTGGTACATAGAAAGTATCTAATTAATACATGCTAATTAAAACAAAAACTGGCACTTTTGGAGCACTTCCTAGGTGACAGGTGCAGCATCAACCAAGTTTTTCTTACAAGCATAAAGTTAATTAAAGCTCATGGCAATGCCATAGGTTAATTGCCATGAATCTCAGCATCAGTAAGTATCTGTCCACAGCAGTAAATATCAGCAATTATTTCAACCCAGAAATGTTTAACTTTAAATCTTGATTTCTTAATAATTGAGCTATGCACACTTCTAAGTTTGAAAGTACATGAACGGAGGCTTGGTATACTTTCCAACTCCAATTCTGGCTTGATGTCAATGACTTCTCCTATTATTTGTTTACACAGATGATTTTCCAATCATCTACAGACATCTACCTATACTTCCTAAAGTGCAGGTCAGAATGTGCTACTTCCATCCTCAAAGAATTTCACTGGTCTTCACTTACTACTGAGTCAAATACAAACAAGCTTGAATGAAAACCTGATCAGAGCAGATGCTTGTTACAAGAGATGCTGTCATATTATAGCTAACTGAATTAATCACCATTCTACAAATAAGCCCATGCTTCTTTGCTGTTCTTCTTACCTAGATTTTAAAATCTCCCTCTTTATTAAAATTTTAAGTTTCATAAAAATTTATTTTCTTTTTTTAAAAGTATTTTAGTTTTATTTGAAAGGGAATGAAGGAAAGGAAAAGAATCTTCCACTTGCTGATTCATTCTCCAAAGGATCTTAACAGCCAAAATTAGCCCAGGTCAAAGTTGGGAGACAGAATCTCAACGTGGGTTGCTCACATAGATGGCATGCACCCAAGTAATTCAGTCAACCTTCTCATTCCTAGCATGTACAGTAGCCAGATCTAGAATCAGAAGCAGAGCCACGAATTGAACCAGGCACATTCTAATTTGTGATGTGGGCCTCCCAAGGAGCTGATAAACCACTGCACAAAACACTCCCTAAAATCCATCCTAACAGGTTCTTCTTCCCCCCTCACTCCTTATCCCTTCATGGGTGCGGGTGGAGTCATAGCACTTAACCTCAATTCTCCTTGGAGTCAGAATTGTGGCATACAGAGTTAAGCTGATGCCTGCAATGTCAGCATCCCACATAAGCACATGTAGGAGTCTTGAGTGTCCCACTGCCGAACCAATTTCCTGCTAACCCCATTTGGGAAAGCAGGAGACAACTGCTCAAGTGCTTGGGCCCCTGCATGCACGAGAGACCTGGATGATACTCCTGGCTGCTGGTTTCATCACAACACAGCTTTGGCCAGTGCAACCAACTGGAGAGTGAACCAGCAGATCTCTGTCTTTCCTTCTAACTATACCAATACACAAATCATTTTACAAAATCTATTTTCTCACAGAATTTTGTCTTTCCTATTGTGTATGTAACTCTGGAGCTCAGGAATTTTCCTACTTTCTCTGCCTTTACTCCAGACTGAAGTTTCATCTTCTGAAATACATTCTTGAGATAAACTACATTTCCCCCTTGTAATATTTGGTAAAATTATAATTAAAATTTTCTTCCTTACTGGATCACATGCTCTGTGAGGAAATTGTATCTGACTTACACACTTATGCATTTTCAGTACTTACTATAAGACTTGGAGCAAAGTAAAAGCATACTAAACATATACTGAATGAACTCTGTTCATCTTTGTAGGCCCCATACTATCTTACCCATGTGGGGGATATTTTAAAAACCAGGTGCTGAACTGAAGTAAGGTTCAATATTCTAAATCTTTTACTCTCTTTCCAATTGGGACACATAAAACTGGGATACTCTATAGATAATGATGCCTTGTGAATAAAGGACAGGCTTCCTCAAAGTAGACAGTGCATATTTTTATGACAGCATAATTATCTTTGTAAGTTATTCCCTTTAAGCTCTTTTACAATTGCATTCATTTATATCATCTTCAGTTAGATCAGGTACTAATTAACTTTTCCAAAATGAAGTTAAATACTGACAGAAATAAAGTTAAACTGGGCTATAATAAGCACATCTCTTTCCTTTTCATCTTGTCATTGAGATTAAATGTTATTTTTTTTAATACCAATTTATTTACTTATTTGGAAGACAACAATCTTGAGAGAGAAAGAGAGATCATCCACTCGTATTAGCCAGAGGTGACAAGTCAAAGGCAGAAGTCACGGGCTTCATCCAGATACCCCATGTGCGGCATGGCCCAAGCACATGGGCAATCTTCTGTTATTTTTCCCAGGCCATTACCATGGAGCTGGATTGGAAGTAGAATAGCCAAGATACAAGTCAGCATCCATATGGGATGCTTAGATTCACAGGGAATGTTTTACCTACTATGCCACAGTGCAAGCCTCTAAATGTTATACTTTTGTCACATTATAAATGTATATAGCTTATGTCTGTAACAGAAATTGGTCAGGAATGTTAAAAGGAAGAATCTGAATGTCATGTCAAGTACTTTTTGGAACCTACAAAATCCACAAACCATAACATTTTCTGACAATGAAACTTAACAATAAAATTTATTTGGCTTCTAGTAATATTTTTCCGAGTACTGGTAGCTTTGAGATTGATCAATTTAAAATAGAGGAGATCTGAAATAAATTAAAATCTGTTTAGTAGGTGATGTACAATATAAAAACAAGACAACTCTTAATATTTAACCACTTTCTTTTTAAAACAAGAATACCAACAATAAATATTTTCCTATAATACAAATAAAATGTTTAGGTACTAATAGCACAAGTGGCCCCTTTATTACAAGTGTGCTTTAAGAGGAGACAAAATAAATATGATATATATTCAATTTTTAAAAGTAGTCTTAGAGCCTACAATGATATGTAGAAAAAAAAAGGACAAGGTTTTCAAGGTTTTCTTCTCCTCTTTATGAGAACCAGTAACTACCAGTGCTTACTACCCTTCAGCTTAATGCTGCATAGCCAATAAGCAGCAGACACTACGGCCTGTAAATTTCACGATCTATTAACGAAAACTACAAGACAAAGATGTAGTATTACATATTATGACATTACTACCATACATTTTCCACAGTCAACGATATTCTTAATCACACAGGGAACTGCATTTGCTCCCTCCCAAACCAGTTTTCTTGTATAGCATTAGATTTTCTGTTAACAAACATTTCTTTCACATCTTTAGTTTCTTCAAAACTTGGCTGGGATTAACAGAGAGATGGAGAGGAAAGAAGCAAAGCATCAGTCACCGGATCTTTATTTTCTTCCATCATTGAATCTAACTTGTCTTTTCTTTATCCCACTCACTGTCACCCAAACTCCAGTTCTTAGTATCTCCTCTTTTTACGTTCTGCCTCTTTTTCAGTATCCTAAACACCATGGCTAGCCTGATCTTTCTGAAATGCTATCAGCTCCCCTTCTCAAAAACCTTTAGTGACTCCCAGGTAGCCTACCTTACCACAACTCATATTTGCCCTTTTTTCTAGGTCTTTCATCATCTGGCTCTTCCCTACTTATTTTTTAAAATCTACATATTCCTTAATATAAACTTATAGTAATTAAATATTCTCACTCCTGCCTAACATTTCCAATTAAAATATTTTTATCCTTTCAATAATATTCATTTCCACGAAGAGCGCTCTTTATTTCTCTGTGCCTACATGATTCATGTGCCATTTAAGGTATATCACTTGTAAAATTAGTAACAGGCCAACATTTCCCAACTGCTTTCTCTGTGCAATGCAATATTCTACTGCACACTGTTCAGGCTGGCAGTGAAGGAACTGACACATTGGATCCTAAGAATAAAAACTTCTAGCATTTAAAGTCTACCTTGATTTTTCTCCCCAATATATACCAAGCCACAACTCACCTTCACTAAACACCTAGCATATGCACTTGAAAAAGATAAAATAGTCAATGATTATGATCTAAACAGGAATGATATGGGTGTGGATTCAATATGTACAGCTACTCACGTGAAGTTGAGTTTATCATGTCACATCACATATTGTTACTCAAGTGAAGTTGATTTCATCACATGATTTTAACATGAAGTTGATTTTATCATGTTATCAAGTTTCAATTTTATTATGTTCCACATGGGTTAAAAATACCTACCTCATTAATTCTCAGAAAAATTTGATTTTAAAACTATGTGAAAGCTCTTAGCTGACTATTAAAATATAATACTAATGCTCACGAAAATTTGTATAGTACATGGTAAGTACTACTCCGTGTGTAAAGAGATTGCTTATTTGGTGGGAAAAAGGGGGAGGCTGCCAATGCTTAAAACCTAGCAAGTGTCAGACAATGTGAGTTCTCTCCTACAGAAACCTATCGCATAATCAAATACTTAGTTTTTCAGTCATTGTTCATATAAAATTCAGTTTCCAAGCTTAGGGAAGAAAATGTGTCATTTCTTTTCTAATATTCGACAGTTTGAGGCATATAATAGGCACCAAAAGTAATAGTTGACTGAGTTTTAGGGGGGAAATCTGATAAATCACACTTTTGATTAACCATAGGCAAAGGCTTTGGAATACTTCTGAGACTTCTAAAATCACCTGCAACTTAAAAATTGGGTTAAAAAACATTTATTGTAATTAAGTAATTACATATAATGGTGTTCCTTTAAAAAAAGGTTAACATAAATTGTCTCTGAAACATAAATATTACTTACCTAAGTGCAGAAAACGCAAATCCTTTCAAGCCATCTTTGCACCTAAAGCAATTAAAATTTAGTTATAAAATAGCACGTTGTGAGAAATAGAGTAGAACCTTAAAAAGCTATTATAAATGGTTTTCCAAAGAATTACGTTTAAGAGGTTACATTCTTATTTCTTAGAAGAACCATTGGAATCTTACCAAACAGATAAGCAACAAGCAATGAAGAGCCACCACACACAAAATGAATAACAATGATAATGTTTTCCTATGTAATAGTAAAATAACTGAGGATGTCATTCTTAGCTCTGGTTGCTGAAAGAGACTTAAGTACATTTTCTGAGGACTTAAAACGAGGTCTGGGCATGGAACATTCTTCACTCTAATCAATCTCTCAGGGAGCAATTTTGCTGTGAAAAATGTGATATACACCTGCTTAGGTATTACAGTTAGTCAAGTTGAGGTCCTGGCTGCTACTTACTAATTCAGGGAGTGCAAAGGAATGTACTGGCAAGCACAGAAAGTCTTCAAGTTGAATTTGACAGCTTTAACTTCTGATTAACCTCCATCACAGGAGACTGGGGGAAATGGTTGGGGTGAAAGGTGGGAGAGATCAGAAAGAGAATTCCAAACAGTACCAATGAGTGCTAACTATCGCTGAGTACTGGTTTGGGTCTTTGGATGCAGTGCCTCATTTAATTATATTACAACTCTGTGGACGGATTTTTCCTTACTCTCTATTACACACACACACACACACACACACACACACACACACACACACACACACACACTGTGGACGACATAAAATTAACAACCAGAAATAAGGGACAGAGAGGGAGAGAGGATTTTGACCTGAAAAGTAAAAGTTTTCTTCCATCTTCCCAAAATTATACCATCTTTTATTGAGCAAGATTCAAAATATACGATGATTAGAGAAAAAAGATTCTCACATGCACAAAAACATCAAAACAAGGGCCCGGCGCGGTGGCGCAAGTGGTTAAGTCCTCGCCTTGCACGCCCAGGATCCCATATGGGCGCCGGTTCTAATCCCAGTGGCCCCGCTTCCCTTCCAGCTCCCTGCCTGTGGCCTGGGAAAGCAGTCGAGGACAGCCCAAAGCTTTGGGACCCTGCACCCGCGTGGGAGACCCAGAAGAGGCTCCTGGCTTTGGATCGGCATAGTATCGGCTGTTGCGGCTCACTTGGGGAGTGAATCATCGGACGGAAGATCTTCCTCTCTGTATCTCCTCTCTGTATATCCGCCTTTCCAATAAAAAATAATAAAAATAAATCTTTAAAAAAAAAAACATCAAAACAAGATGCTAAACTTAAGACATCACTACAGCGGTCTTACATTACTCTAATGCCGTGCTGTGCCTCTGGTCTTCCTTTATAGGTAAGAATACATTACATAAAGAGCTTTAGGGTATTTATTAGTAGAATCAATTTTATAAATTTATTAAAGCTGGTGACACAATGATGATCTAATATATGCTAATATTTAGAACTGGACATTGAAAAGGTCACAAAGAGGGCTCAGCGTGGTAGCCTAGAGGCTAAAGTTCTTGCCGCACACACGCCAGGATCCCATACGCATGCTAGTTTGTATCCTGGCAGCCCTGCTTCCCATCCAGCTTCCTGCTTGTGGCATGAGAAAGCAGTCAAGGCCCAAAGCCTTGGACCCTGCACCTGCGTGAGAGACCCGGAAGAGGCTCCTGGGTTAGTATCTGCTCAGTTCAGGCTGTTGTGGCTTGGGGAGTGAATCATAGGGATGCAAGATCTTTCTCTCTGTATATCTAATTTTCCAATAAACATACATTTAAAAAAATTTTTAAAAAGGTTGCAAAGGAAATGCTCAAAATGTGATAAGCCAAATTAATCTAAATATATTGCTTTATTGGAAAGTTTTTGATCTATATGCACAAAGATATTTTACAACACTCAAGAAATCATTTCAATTAAGGCATGTGATCTACTATTGAAAGAGAGATATGGAACCAAAGAATTTAGCTAATATTTTATATAATCATCTACTGTACAGGGTAGTAAATGCAAAATAATTCATATGTAAAGTAATAAAAGTTCATGCGAAAAGTATAGCGCTAAAATTCTTAAATTACTCTTTTTCCACCTAAAGAAAGTGTGAAGTAATTTACAAGCTCAAATCTGGTGAGGAAGCAAGCTGCAGATCTACTGAGTGTAAGAGAAAAAGCAGTGGACTTGAAAGATTTATACATATATAAGTTTTATATATGTATATGTATACATATGTGTATATACGTATATATACGTATAAAATTTTGGCTTTAGTGAATTCATGTTGAAAAACAGCAATGTATCTTTGTGCAATATTTCAATAGATAAAGAACTCTGACAACTTGGTCTAGTCAGGATTGCCTATTTGTGCACTTAACAATAAATGCAATTACAGATCCAAACTCAAAAAGTGGCTTTCACATATAAAAGCACATACAAATGAATTTGCAATTTCATTATGAGGGAAGTTGGTCTTTTCAGCAGAGCTCTGTGGAAGCACTTGATATTGATAAATTCTTAGAGTGGATACAAAAGGGGCTATTCTTCTTTCCATTCATGTGTATAAGGTTTGTTAGTGTAATTGAGAGTCAGATGTACATGTCAAAAGAACAAAAAAGTAATTATTCTCATAAAAAGAATCATCAACATAGTAATATGGCTCTGCATCTGGCGCCACGGACATTGTCTGAGTATTATCCTAAATATGAAACACTACAGTAATGCGTGCTAAATGTAGAAGGAATGACGTAAACATAAAAATTTAAGCAAAGCAGACTCCATTAGAAGAGATCTGACTTCTCTATGGATTGAGTTACTACAATGTAAGCTAAGTCACAAATGAAGGCTCAGTGACTTATTCGACAAACAGTAACCGAGGGCCTACCAGACAGAAGCACTGGTTTAGGTTCTAAGGATGTTGTAGCAATCAGTCAAGAATCCCTGCTTTCACCCAACCGACTTTCCAGTAAGGAGAGACATTCAAAAGTAGACATGGTATATGTTGATAACAGTTATGGCAAAAAAAAAAAACTTGCAAGATGATAGTAAAAAACGGCCAAGAAATCCGTTTCCATCACATTAAACAGTATGCCAACAATGGTGTCTCTGAAACAGTAAAATCTACTAATCTGATCAAAATCTTTCAGGCATCAAGGAAAGAATGTCAAGCTAAAGGAGAACAAGCACAAAGTCCAGGATGAAGAGTCTCTGTGATCTGCAAGGACAGCAAACAGACCACAGACACAGGAGGGAGGCAGCCAGAAATGCCGTCACAGGAACACAGGGAAGGAAAGGTGCAGACTTCACACAGCTCTTTAGGCAACGTAAGGATCCGGGCAGATTCTCCACAAAGGAATAACAAGATCTGTCCTTACATTTAAAAGCATCACTGTAGCTGTGGGGTGGGAACAGACCACAGGAGGGCAAAATCGGCAGCTCTTAGGCTAGCTAGGTCACAGATGTAACTATGGTCACGTAAACCATACTGTCAGATGTGCGAGATTTTAAGTATATTTCAAAGAAGAGCTGGTAGAATTTCCTGACAATTGAAAGTAGAGTAAAAGAGAACTAACAAATTACTATAAAGTATGTTTGGTTTGATCAAATGTGAAGACAATATAATCACTAATGTGAGGAATGCTGAGAAACATGTCCAAGGACAAAAACCGAGTTTCACTTCAGATATGCTAAGTTTTAGATGCATGTTAGCTAATTAAGAGGAAATGCCAAGAAAGCAAGCATCTCATTACACAACTCTGAGGATCAGGAGGAGTTATGAATCAATCAAATATAATATTTAATTTTTTATTTTAAAAAGATATATTTATTGCGGCTGGCATAATGTTGCAACCAGCTAATCCTTTATCCGGTAGCACCAGCACCCCAGATGGGCACCAGCTCATGTCAGGGCTGTTCCACTTTCAAAGCAGTGGCCTGCATGTGGCCTGGGAAAGCTGCAGAGGATGACCCATATCCTTGGGCTCCTATTTCCATGTGGAAGACCTGGAAGAAGCTAATGACCCCCAGCTTCAAATCAGCTTTACTGGGCCTCCTGAGACCACACGGGGAGTGAACCAGCACATGGAAGAAAGACCTCTCTGTGTAAAAAAGATAGAAAATCTTTCATTTGCTAATAAAGTCCCCAAATGGCTACAACAGCTAGGGCTGAGCTAGGCTGAAGCCCTGAGTCAGGAAATTCACCGAGTTATTCCACATGTATAGAGCAGTCCAAACACTTGGGCCATCTTCCTCTGCCTTCTCAGGCAAATTAGTAGGGAGCTGGATCAGAAGTGCTAGAATGGGGTACTGAACCATTGACCACAGAGGATGTCAGCACCACAGGTGGAAGCTTTCCATGCTACGCCACAGTGGCTGCCCCTTAAATGCAGTATTTAATTCCAAGACACTACATATAATCATATAGAAAATATACATAAATAAGGAATATATTTAAGGAATCAATATATTTTATTCCTTTATAATTACTAACATAGAAAACCTCTTCTACAGAAAAAAAATTGCCTAATTATTCTCCAATATCTTAAGCAGACATAAATATAATACACTTAACTCTTTAAACCTATTTCTTCTATGTAACATAAAGTAATTATTCTAATTCAATTAATATTTACCGAATCTCACTTTTGCCAAGTTAATGGTAAAGTATAATATAAAAGGACCCTACCAAAAAAAAAAAAAAAGAAATTTTCAAACAATTCAGTTAATACACATCTTAGTGCAGCAATTCAGATTAGAAATAAATACTATGAACAGGAAAGTATAGCAAAGTTATCAGACTAAATAATGCTAATGAAATTTTAATTTTTCAATTAGAAGTGTAAATACAGACTTTTCCCTTCATCCCAATTCCCACCAGTCACTTCTAAGAGACTCAGTTGAGATGTGACTGTTAGTTTTAGGCCTTTTTGGTCGACTGTGGAATTGCTATCTTCCTCCTTTCTTCTTACTGAATATTATGACTAGGGGTGAATAAGCCTGTGATTACAGAATGGATTAGAAGTA